ATAAACATATCATACACTGTTTTGGTTAACATATCATACAATGTTTTGGTTAACATATCATACACTGTTTTGGTTAACATATCATACACTGTTTTGGTTAACATATCATACACTGTTTTGGTTTAAGGTCACATGCAACCAAAATATCAAACATAATTAAAACACAATTATCACTTATTCATAACATATAATATACATTGCTGATTATGAAATAACATATAAACAAAATTATAAGCGTACAATTGCAAATCAAAAGTGCAAAATTGTGTACTTGGGTTTACTTCCCTAGAAACAAAGCAGCCGGGATACCTAACCCAGTCAGAGCGGGTGGGTGTGCACTCAAGTGTAACGGCTGGTTCATTTGCAGATGCCTTCACGGCTAATTGTGTGTATATATATAGAGAGATGTTGGGTTTTGTAAATACATGCTCATTTTTTGTGTATAACATTTTGCAATCAACAGACATCATAACATATTATGTGTTCAAGTATCACACCTGCCTGTCTGTGTAATTACATAATGTTACAGAGAACGAACTCGGGCCATAAATCGATGCGTTTTGTTTATGGTGTATAGCCTGATAGGTGTTAAGTTCAAATTGCATGTGGTCAGTGATCGAAGTTGTGTATTGAATATTGTCATTAGCAGACAGGCAGGCAGACACAAAGGTGTCAATAAAACAGACATTGAGTTTTGTCTGTGACAACGACATATCTATATCACAGTTAGAAATTCTGTCAACGCTAAATAATGACATTGCTTTAAGTATCGAACTGAGAAAGTGGCTCAGTAAGAAGAACGTGTGGTGAAATAGACAAATGAAATTATATAAACAGTTAAATCGGTAATCTACTGTCATAACATATAAAAAGCTCGCGCCTGTGAAATATCAACAAAACATTAGAAAAATAGCTCACACCAAAGCCTTCGCCGAGTATTCACCAGACAACCCGCTTACAAGCTGCACGAACCTATTTCACTGCGCATGTGCTATGAGCGCAGCCCAGCCCAGCCCAGTGAAGCTGTTGAAACCACTTTTCCCCCCAAGCGCTTGGGGAAAATTAGTGAATCGTTTGAACTCTGACTTCGCACGGTTTTTTACATCGCTTTATTTTTCAACTTTATAAGTTGAAGTTGCATTTTTGATGACTTGTTTCGGTAAGTCCATACCGAAAGGTATCAGAATCTGCAAAGTTGTGTTTTACGTTGTATGTGAGCACCCCATTTCTTGGTTTGCAGTTGCTTCAGTCAGCTAACATCACTGGTGGAAATATTACATTTAACTTTTTTGACGAAAAAAAATGTCTTAGCTCGAGTCACAAATATACAGTGATATGTCAACGTTCTCCAACTAAGTCTAGGTCCACAGTCCCACAATGCATCTGTGGAATGTCGCGTGACTAGTCAGCTTCATCTGGATATACTGATCTAAAGTTATATTGGAAGTAGAAATGAGAAATTCATATTGCCCCATAAGTTTATGATAATCTCAAATTTATTGAAAATAATGTATAGAAGATATTTAACCAGTCCTTAAACCATCTTTAAACTGTTTATCATTTGTTTTCTTGGTAACATGCATCATAACGCAAGAGGGCAGACATGTCAATAGAACCGCATGTCAGTTAGCACTGAACGAGGATTGTTAACTTAGGTCACCAACACTATCACTTTTCTGTTTGTTTTTTTGCCTTAGATTAATCATCAGTTAGTATCAAATTTGTATTTCTTTACTGTATTTCATTAGTATTACCAGTTGCAAATTCATTATACAAATATGTTGCTTGTTAATAGAAACAATTAATTTCAAACTGCACAAGAATGACAGAGTCCAGGTGGGAGGAATGATGAGTGTCATGTAAGGGAGGTAACTCTAATGCTGGGCTATTCTGGAAGTGTCTGTAACCAAATGGTGCAAGCTGATGAGCTTTCGGATGTTTTAGATAAATGGAATTCTGTATATGGGTTGTCTTGGATTAGGACAGCTAGCATCATAAGTTGCAGGACTTTTTTTTCAACATATCCCAATGTGGATTCCTGGTTAGAATGTACATCCACAGATAGGTTGCTAAAAGATGCAGCTAAATAGGTTGTCTTTATTAGTTACTAGGTTGTTTGCATGTAATCCTACCTACCCTGATGGTGTAGGACATTGATCGATTGTTTATTTACCTGGCACAGACTCATTTATTGATAGACAGCTGCCAAAAAGTTTAACTTTTTGGTACACTTGCATTATACCAGTTACCTTTTGGCCATATTTGTCTGATGCCTCTGAAATGGCAACACACAACAATGTGGCTAAATGAAAATATTTGGACAAATAATATAAGCAAAAAAATTTGGACTGCATTAGTATCAACTGTATGGTTTAATATGTTTTCAATTTCAAAATTGAATACCAAAGGAATTCATGACCACTAAAAAGCACACATCAATACCAATAAGTTACCTGAAAATTGAAGTTCCATGATTGGTTTCACATCAATTACATACATCGGTGCCACATGTACTGAGGATTGATGCTTCTCCTTGACTTTAATAACTGGAAATGTCATTTACCCTAATAATTTAGAGCGACAGGTAAACATTGCTGGTTGAACATCTCATGCAGGTATCCAGTATCAAAGGTAGACTGCTATTTAACCACATCTTTGCAGAGCCAATTGTAAAACACCAATAAGTAAACTATGATAATGTTTTCTTATCACTGATAAGATAATGTTTAATATAGGATCTAATGATAATTCATGGATTAGAATATGTTCAACTATGTACAGCATGTGCCTTTCTTGACAGACGGTGTGCGGACAAAAACCCCTGTGGACAAAACCCCCCTGGAACAAAAACCCTAGGACAACAGCCCCCTAGGACAAAAACCCTCACCATGTAGGACAAAAAAAAAATAAAGCTCCAAATGAATAATGAAGACTGTTTATCAGTCAAATATTTATTCAGCCGACATCACATATTATGAGCACTAGCACAAACTGGGTCCATCCCAATCTGAGCACTAATTTGCATCTCAACACAACCTGATGTTATGTCCGACACTGATCAGAAAGTCTTCAATGGAGATCTTAGCATCTCTTCGATCGGAACATAGGTTCAACAAACTTGAAGCCTTGTGGTCTCTTGATTTGATGGTTCTCTTGGCTGGACGTACTCCTCGGGCTAACTGGTGGAGGAGAGTTGACACCAATAAAAACATGTTACTTAAAGGTCACATGCAACCAAAAAATCAAACATAATTAAAACACAATTATCACTTATTCATGACATATAATATACATTGCTGGTAACGAAAAAATATATAAACAAAATTATAAGCGTACAATCGCAAATCGAAAGTGCAAAATTGTGTACTTCGGTTTACTTCCCAAGAACCAAAGCAGCCGGGATACCTAACCCAGTCAGAGCGGGTGGGTGTGCACTCAAGTGTAACGGCTGGTTCATTTGCAGATGCCTTCACGGCTAATTGTGTGTATATATATATAGAGATGTTGGGTTTTGTAAATACATGCTCATTTTTTGTGTATAACATTTTGCAATCAACAGACATCATAACATATTATGTGTTCAAGTATCACACCTGCCTGTCTGTGTAATTACATAATGTGACAGAGAACGAACTCGGCCATAAATCAATGCATTTTGTTTATGGTGTATAGCCTCATTGGTGTTAAGTTCAAATTGCATGTGGTCAGTGATAGCAGCTGTGTATTGAATATTGTCATTAGCAGACAGGCAGGCAGACACACAGGTGTCAATAAAACAAGACATTGAGTTTTGTCTGTGACAATGACATATCTATATCACAGTTAGAAATTCTGTCAACGCTAAATAATGACATTGCTTTTAAGTATCGAACTGAGAAAGTGTCTCGGTAAGAAGGTCGTGTGGTGAAATAGACAAATGAAATTATATAAACAGTTAACTTACTGTCATAACATATAAAAAGCTCGAGCCTGTGAGATATCAACAAAACATTAGAAAAATACCTCACACCAAAGCCTTCACCGAGTATTCACCCGACAACCCGCTTCCAAGCTGCGCGAACCTATTTACTTGCGCACGTGCTATGAGCGCAGCCCAGCTGTTGAAACCAGTTTTCCCCCGAAAAGTCTGGGGAAAATTAGTGAAACGTTTGAACTCCGATTTCGCGCTTTTTTTTTCATCGCGTTATTTTTCAACTTTATAAGTTGAATTTGCATTTTTGACGATTTGTTTCGGTATGTCCATACCAAAAGGTATCAGAATCTGCAAAGTTGTGTTTTACGTTGCATGTGACCTTTAAGCCAATCACTCAGTAGTTAAAACATGTTTGGGGGTTTAGTCCTTATGGGCTTTTGTCCAAGGGTTTTTTTGTCCCAGGGGGCTTTTGTCCACAGGGTTTTTTGTCCTACAATCTGACAGACGGACAGATTTTATTCAATAAAGAGGCCTTGGGCCCATGATACATACTTATCTTTGTGATAACAAATAGAAACAAGTGAAAATATAGAAGCTGAGCAGGTATGAAAATTTGTAATACATTAGTATATAAACAACAACATGCATTATCATGATTATACATTGGAAACTGGAAAAAAAAAGTCTTGCTTTATCGATTTTGTTCCTTATTTGACTTGACAATTAAGTAAACGTTGCTAAAAACATGACTATGCATGATTTTGAAAAAGGCAATATATCGTTATTTTTTAAACAAATATTCATATATTGTTTACTGGATTTATCGCACATGTGAGAGTCTATCCTGCACGTATTTGAACCAAAATCACTATCAAACTGAATTCAGGTGATGGAGAAATAATGATTCACATATTTCAGTGTTTGCTCCTTAGCTTGAAGCTGAAGCTGGTGAAACATATCAATCTATAATCAATGAAATCAATGTGAAATTACTGTTAGTACGGATGCAATCATATACATTTTCTTTATAATAAATGAAGATAAAAGTTGATGCCAATGATGGCCAGTGTAATTCTGCATTGTTTACCCTGTGTCCACCTGGAGAAAACCTCGTCCTTTAGTCCAACTCCCCACAACAATGCTTGCAAATCGCTAACTGATTGGCAGTCGACATTTGTGTACTCTGTCGAAGCCATGTCTGTCCCGCTGTGGCGACAATTATGTCAGCATGTGCATAAAACACAAATGACAACCTCAACAACTCTTACACATTGGCGCCATGTTGTTTAAAGACGGCAGTTTCCCGGACACGTGAGATCGATCTCGAAATATTCGTGTATACCTATTAAGGTACAAATCTATGTAACATGTGATGGTTAAATGTGTGTCATATATATCAGATATGGATTTATTCACATGTGAAAATAATTTTAAAATATTACAGCGGAAACAGGCGAACAATTTCCGTGAATTTCCGTAATGTGGATAGAGTTATTCCCCCTCCACTGTCCTGAGGGGGATATATTTGGACACATGTAGAATGTGTTCCTTGGTCAATTCGTGGGGAAATTAGGGATTGGGAACTATGGTCTGTTACACGTTGAGCTTGTGTTCGATTTTGAGACATGTTTGCAGCGATTGCCTCGGATTGGTTCCGTCAGTCATGACATGCCCCATCGTAGCCGAGAGCCGCGATGCGGTCCTATACAGTCAAGACATGACCCGGCATCGCGGCCGAGAACACCACCTTCATAAACTGTATAGGACAGCATCGCGGCTCTCGGCTAGTCCCATCGCGGCTCTCGGCAAGAGCAAAGATATATGCATCTTTGGCTAGAGGTATGTTGTGTAGTAATTATTACTGTGCTAACTTAAGGTGACAGCCCACAAGGAGGTGATAGGAAACATAACTAAACTTGCGACATACCAGGCGGAATAGGTTACCAGGCTCATTCAGCCGAATTTCATACTGAACAAGCTGAGTAATTCGTGTGATATAGTACTATGCAAGAGATACGCGTTCGTGGAAATAAATTTGATTTTGTGAAGTGCCGATCGTTTGGTTTCCTAAATTTGACACATATAAGTACCCAAGCAGAGTTACGTGGTGATGCTGACATCACTATCACCGAAGCTGACAAAGGAAAAGCAGCCGTCATTATGAATACACCTGAATTCCTGACCCTGGTTGACACTACCTTAAGTGATACCTCCACGTACAAACTAGTGTCTAAGGACCCAACTGCAAAGTTAGAATCTAAACATAAGAAGAACCTGAAAACACTTCATGACAAAGGTGAGATTAATGATATCATACACAACAAACTGAATCCCAACAACTCCCAGCCACCTTACGATCGTGCCACTATCAAAATTCATAAATCGCCAGTGAAGACCAGAATCTTAGTGTGCTCCCGAGGGTCGGTATTTTACAATACTGACCAATTCCTGTCGAAACTTTTAGCACCATTAGGGAAAGAAGGTAAATCCTTCATCACTGATTCATCATCGTTTGTTAACAAACTTAAGGATTACCAAGCTTGTGGAACCATGGTCAGTTATGACGTGGTAGACTTATTCACTAACATTCCTCTAGAAGAATCCCTAGCAATCCTGCGATCCCGATTAGAGTCCTGTATAGACCATATCGACACAAAACTTTCCATCGACAGCATCATCAGCCTTGTATCCAGCTGTTTTGAAACATCCTATTTTACATGGCAAGATCAGATATATCAGCAGATTCATGGTCTACCCATGGGATCTCCACTCTCACCTCTCATAACTGAGATATTCATGACCAACTTTGAGGAAATTGCTCTGGCTACTTCACCATTCCAACCACTATGTTGGCACAGGAAAGTTGATGACACGTTCTCTATCCTAGACAACCATCAAGACCCCAATGCACTCCTAGACCACCTCAACAATCAACACCCTAGAATTAAGTTTACGATGCAAACAGAGCAGCATAACAACCTCCCTTTCTTGGACATCGCCATTGACAACTCAAACACCAGCTCATCACGTCGGTCTATCGCAAACCTACCCACACAGACCAATATATTCACTATCACTCAAACCACCATCCCCAAATCAAGAGAGCAATTGTTGCCACACTTGCGAGACGCGCGAAAAAGATTTGTAGCCCTGACCTACTGCAACAAGAAACAGACCACCTGATGACAACATTCATCACATACAATGGTTATCCAAAGAACCTTGTAGAAACCACCATAAAGAAAACACTACAAGATCAAGTTCAGCCTCCTCCGAAACCTGAACCATCTCCCATCCGCATCAACATCCCGTATGTTGGGCCCATCAGCCACCAAGTCAGCAGACTCCTAAAGAAAATGGCCAGCATTGACACCACTTTCTCGTCTGGCAAAACCCTTAAAACTTTGCTACGTGCAAATGGTAAGGGGTGCAATCACGCTATATCCAACCCTAAAGGCTGTGTGTATAAACTGAAATGTGACTGTGGTGACATCTACATTGGTGAGACAGGCAGACCAGTAGCTACACGTGTGAAAGAACACAAAACAAATCAGATCTGAAATCTGCAGTTTCCGAACACATTATGAATAATCCCGATCATGAAATTGACTGGGAAACTGAAGTCCTCGCAAAAAACATCAGTGACTGGCGGAAACGCAAGTTGATTGAAGCTATCTTCATCAAACGCACAAAACCAGCAATAAACAGGGATCAGGGTGTCTACCTCCCAAATGCATGGTACATAAAACAATAAGACAATATACCCTACCCTCGTCACTGTTCCCATGTATAAAGCATAATTTCTATGTATACACTGCTATTACTTTACATTCTATACATTTATAAATATGTCTCTGTACATTTCTAAATCAATCAACAATTTTGTATAAGTATCTGCACAGTTCTAAATTGATCCATTAATTTTGCAGTAAACGACATCTTATATATTCATAATAACATGTATTCTATTAGCCATGTCATCTGTATCTATTGACCACCACATGTATTGCGTCGTCATAGCATTGTGACGTCATAAGCATTGTGACGTCACGGCCAGAGTTAACAGTTACTGTTCAGTTTTACCTGATGATGGGGCCAGAACAAGCCCTGAAACGTTGTACTCGAGAATAAAAAGAAGATGTAACCCAGAAAAAATCTCTATGTTCATCAAATATCATCTTCTAAAATGCCAATCAAGCATCTACGTGTGAGTTAAGTTTTACGTCACACTCAGCAATATGGCGGTGGTCTGTAAATAATTGTTTCTGGACCAGACAAGCCAGTGATCAACGGCATGAGCATCGATCTACGCATTTGGGATACAACCAAGTCGGCGAGCCTGACCACCCTATCCCGTTAGTCGCCTGGGTTACTGAAGACCAATTCTTCACGGGTTCATTATTTCAAATCTACGGAGCATATCCTACTGGAAAGTTAGTTGTTAGCAGATAAATATCTTAGTATAGTGGACAATTACATATATCTTGGTATAAAGTTTCATAGAAACAGGCGGCTTATAAAAGCTATTAAGAATTTGTCAGAAAGTGCTACGAAAGCAATGTTCTCTCTATTACAAAGGGCTAGAAATGTCAATTTACCATTTGATTGTCTGCTATCAGCTTTCGACATTATGGTTGTCCCGATACTGTTGATGGTTGTGAGGTGTGGGGTCATGAAAATCTTGTTACTGTTGAAAGAGTTCACCTAAAGTTTTTAAAATTGGCGGCTGGTCTCAAAGCCTCTACTCCATTGTTCATGCTTTACGGTGAATTTTGAAGATGTCCATTGTACATAGCTATTTATAAAAGAGTCATTTCCTTCTGGCATAAACTTGCAAGCAGTATGCAATCGCGTAAACTTTTCCAGGTTCTTTATTCTTTTATGTCCATAAATATTCAAGATACTGTTAAAAATAATACATGGTTTTCGTTTATCAAGTCAGTTCTCGATAAATGTGGCCTCTCATATATTTTTGAAAACCCATCAATCTGCTCAACATCATGGCTTGCTTCAATGGTTAATACAACACTACCAGATCAATTTCACCCATCTTGGCAGTCAGAAATTAATGAAAGTTCAAAAGGCTTATACTACAGTGAGTGAGTGAGTTTAGTTTTACGCCGCACTCAGCAATATTCCAGCTATATGGCGGCTTATACTCGTACTTTTAAAGAAAAAGCCAAATTTTGAAACCTACCCCTACCTTTCTAAATTTATATTCCAATTCTTCGTTTCAGACTAAATAATCATAATATTCCGATTGAAACAGGCAGATTTCTAGCAATTCCAAGGGAAGAACGTGTTTGTCAGTTGTGTAACTCACCTGCGGTTGGTGACAAGTTTCACTACTCACTGAAGTGCGAGGCTCTTAACCAACAGCGGGTGCAGCTGACTAATAGTTATTATTATGACTGGCTATATTTGATAAAATTTAAAAGACTAATGTTAACAAAAAAGCTTAGAGAACTGAAAAACCTATCCAAATTTATAAAAGTTATCCTAAAAAGTTGCTGATTATGTCCATCAACACTTTTCGTTTAATATATTATAATCATGTATGTATGTACAGTTCTTATATACTCTATATCAATAATCGACTAATATATTTGTACACAAATATCAATGTATATAGGCATCTTGTGTCTTTTAATCACAGGGTAATATATATATGTATGCTCATGTACCACCGTTGGTGGCGTTAATGAGTGAATAAAATGATGATGAAAACAAATCAACGGAAGGGGATGCTCTTTTTGCTGCTTATGGATGCTTTTTCTGTCCCATAGGCACTCTGTACCCACTGTAGTGTTCATGACGCCACTGGCATATTGTACCCTAAAGAATAGTTTTTGTGCGGAAGTGCAGGTTAAAGCACACGTGAAATGGTCCTTATCGGTATAAATGTTTCATATGCCACTTCAACTACTCATTCACAGGTTCCACAATGTCCCCGTTTACAAAGCAAGATTCAGGAAAAGATAATGCTAAATATGCGGACCTCGCCTTTGAAATGTCTCGCTTGCATCCCAGCTACACTGTCGTCAGGCTCCCCATTGTTCTCGGTGCCCTTGGTTTGGTACCTCCTGATCTCTTGGCGCAGATCCGGAGAGCACCCGGCTTCTCCACCGGGAGTACAGCCCTATTTACACTCTGGGTAATGCAGAAGGCTGCAGTGTTGGGGAGCCTTCATATTCTCCGGAAAGTTTTTGGTGGGTTTGAACCCTCTCTCCTGCATACTATTTTTAATCTGTAAAACATAATAATGATAAAGTTAATATTTATACAGCACCTGTTCCAACAAATTGC